TATCCCTACGAACTCTTGGAACTGTTTTCACGGATCGAGTGTCCACGTTATCTGCGACACATGTTGTAAATGTCTGCAGAGAAGAAAAAGCTGAATGGGAAATAATTGTGTGCCAACATTTTTCACCAGATTTCAAACGTTTGCATAACAGTACAATTAAAATTTTCTTCTCTATTTACAGAAAGAAATGTTTTGCATCATTTGTTTGACCGAATATGAATTTTAATTTTTAGAGATAACTGCACGAAGAGATGTTTATATTTTTATACACGTATTTCACATTAATACGTAAGCATGGAATATTACTTACAAGTAGTATTATGGTTACTTTCTATTTGTCGACACCAATATGTAAAGGAACACTTTATCGTTAGGAAATGGTAAATCCTTTCCAGATTCATGCCGTCGAATAGGATCAAGGAAGAAAGAATGCATCGTTGGGGAACTTCCGCGGGAAGAATATGCTCAGTCGGGGAACGATCAAGTAAATGATACCCGTAAATTTTCACGGGTGAGGGAGAAGTTTTAAGAGTGTCTCCTCGCGAACGACGTAATTGCTTCCATCAATCTGTACCGAGACAAATTAAACACGTATCAGTGAATGTGCAACGGTTTCTTGGATCTAACGATGTTTTTATGGTCTAAAGTCTAAGAAAAGGGGAGACAGTCAGTTCAGATTTCTACATAGAGGTAAACTGCAAAGAAGCTTCGCTGAACAATCGAGCAGTGTTCCCTGCGATAAAATTTTCTATTGATACATTACTTACGGGTTCATGTAACGAGTTGAAAATAAAAAGCGGTTGATTAATGAAAAGAGAATATTGATACCGTTAAATTACGACAGATTAGATTTTCCAACAATCTGTAAATACACCCGGGCGTCATTAGTAGCGCGCAAATAACTGTACCATCGAAATTACGTGCTGTTAGTTACCGGCAAGGAAGGACCACCTTAATTTTCCCGAGAATACTAATTAAGTATCACTAATTAATTCCGTAGGATGATGTAATTTATTCGAGCAGCTCGTTACCAAACAGGTGGTATGCCAGAGGCTAATGACCTGGGAACACCAATAATTCATTGATTAACGCCATCTACTGAATAAACAATAAGCGTTCCACTTTGTCCCCTGTCCCGTCCACGCCCCACTGTCCACCCCCCCCCTATCATTAGGGTGGTAACAATCAAATTTAATAATACACCGCGATAACTCATTATAACACCGTTCTCCGAGTGCTCGCTGAAACGAACCTGAGGAAATTTAATACTTTATTCCGTAGAGCCGTTAAAAAGGATTAACCCAATAAGAGGTCTCATTACTTCTTAATTGTGTCCAGGGTGTACCCCCTCGATGCCACCGGGACTAAAGGAAAATTCAAATTTATATTCAGATTTCAGATTGATTTAATTGAGTCGTTCTATCCAATTACTGTATAGACGCTCGTTCCTTGTTACATTTTCCGAACTTTTTTTTTCTACTTTCACGAATTGTTCTGCTTCCTCGTGGGGTGGCGGGGACAGTCACGGAACGGAAGAAGCGAACGAAGATAGTCGAAAACGTATGCACGATACTGTCCCGCGGCGTATCGTGACGGTGAATCTGCAATTTATCGAAGCCGAAGAGACCTCTCGCGACCGAATAGGCAAGTAACTACCGAGCATTACGAGGTCTTCAGTGCGATCTGGATAAAATAGCGTATAATTAGATAGGGTGTAAGATATATTTGGAGCGTGTCCATGTTGGCCACTGGCCAGAGCTCACCCTTTTGATATATACCTATAAAGGAGGTCAAGAGGGTGCCCTCGTCCGAGGGATGGCAACGACGCACTCTCGGGAACATTTGCACACCGGTACCAAATTGGTTATATTCGCTGTAAATTATTGCGCGTTATTATATGCCTATCGAGTCTAACTTACCGAATACTAATGATGGAAATCGGAAGTAGAACATAGTGCTGAAAAAAAAAAATCTCAACACATTGAATGCCGGGGGATTTTCGTACGTTTCAGCCACAGCGTCGAAGTGAAATCCTCGTTACACGGAATGTATTAGAGTAAAATTTTATATAAAATTATTGAAGTCAACTATGTTATCATACTTCTAACATTTCGTTTGTTGAAATTTACTAGTTTATAGTCTAATATTAATTATACCGAAAAGTATACTGCCTAGAGCATTCAACGTGGTAAAGAAAAAGTTATGTATGAAACTTTCGTGTGGAAATATATATTCTCAACTGTTTCGTCGATTATTCCCTACAAAAAAGATTCAGAGAATGTATCGAAATGTTTGTTGATTGCTTAAGTTTCTTTATTTCTTATTATTACCTGTAGATCATCTTCCATGTTATGTAAGTTTTGACAGATCAATACGTTTTGACAATTTCCTTTTTTCATAGACCCAAAAAACACGACTGTTTTGTTAAAAATAGTAATCTGTTCTCTCGCGAATAGTGTGCCTCATCCCTTTTCCTCTTTAAATCGGTGTACACGTCGTACTAGCGCCCCTTGTGGACACACTGCTCACGGATCACAATAAATCCTTAAGCGTATAATATAACGGTATAACTGCGTAAGAAAGAGCTTGAGAGAAGGATTTGTTCGCTTTACACGCCGGCGGCTGTTGACTAATACGATGTGTTTTCTCAGCGCTCGAATGAAATATTTCGCATTCCCTCTCCCCACTCAGTAAATCATTCTTCTATCCGAACGAATCTTTCCATTAGCCGGGTGATAAGGTATCGAAAGCCGTCACCGCATGAATTTCCAAGCGGGGCGCGAAAGTTTGATATCAGATATTTCTTAATTACACGGCCCCCGGCTTAACTTGTCAAGTGTGCGCAATTAATTTTCTACGGTGTTAAGCTAAGCTAAAGCTCTCACCCGAACGCACGCAGCGTGTTCATAAATGACGGGGGATTACGCCCGGGCCCGTCGACTTACATTGTTATCTAATAATTCTAATTATCGTTAACGAACTTCCTCGTCGCGCTCTATCCAATGTTCCGTGACACTGAGAACTCGAATCCGAGCAGCTTACCCTCCCAGTCCCTTGGAATTCAACCCTGAATCTGTTTAAAATATTTAATGCTTAGGTGATACTACCTGTGGCTGCTGAAAGGGTTTTTTATCTTTAGAAATTCGGAACAGATTTCCTTCTGGAATGCTTGATCAAAATATCAAACAGATCCATTTGTATGTTTACATATTCGTTTCATTGTATTTCGAAAAATATGGAATATATCCACGGATGTACAGGGTATCGTGTGACTGGTGGTACAACCTGATATTTGTGATTTCGTTTTCGAGAAAATCGACTTTGAAGTTGTGCTGGATACATGTGTAATTGAATAGGACTTGCTTAGTCCCTCCATTCATTTTACTCAGTTTCCACTTACTACCATGACACATTGACGAGTTTCAAATCTATTTTCAAAATCGATTTTCTTGAAAATAAATGAATAAATTTTATTCTGTTTTCGATTTAATTTTTTACGTAGCATCACCTCCTACCCTGTTGTACCACCAGTTTCACAGCAACCTGTAATTATGTTAAGAAATTGTTATTTCATCTTATATAGGAAGTTCCAGAAGATATCTTACTTCACATAGTGTACTTGAACATAAATTCTTGAAGCTGAAGCTTCTCTTTGTATGTAGCAAATGCATGTTCATTTCTTCGTTGAGTAATTCTACAGTTTGTATTTAAAATGGTACAGTAATTTCGAGACATTGGGAAGGATTCAGCTGTCTATTCCCAGGCCTGCAGCGTTCACATAGAACCCGAAACGGTTCGCGTGCTTCGGCGTTTCTAGTTTGGTTCACAAAAGGTCTGGTCTGCTTCGAGAGCGGCTATGATTCTGAACGAGGAAGAGGGAGATAAGACCCTACGCGATTATTCACCGTTGAAATTCAAGTTCCTAGCGTTCAGCAATTCCACGTGCCTCGGCGGGGTTTCAGCGCGAAACTCTCCGTAGCGACTGATTTGCTAAAATTATTCTTTAGGTTGGAAGTAACGAGCGTGGTGTTGCCGATAACCGACAGGAAACGGCTACTCGTAAATTTTCCTCGTATCATATGATTCACGAAATGGTCTGGTAGTTTCATTATGTTCTCTGTAATTGGTGACTCTACCGAGCCGCGTTCTGAAAATGGACCCTCCTTTCGCCAAGATAACGACCGATAATAAATCATCTTCAGCGAAGAGTTCATCGAAGGAGCCTACCGTTATCGTTTTTTTACTTCCCACTACTCACCACCTCCCCCCTTTTGGGTAATATTCAATCGATCAGATTTTTAGTAATGTTACTTTATTAACGTTACTGGTTGGCACGATCACGCGACGCACGCAGTAAGGGTATTTAAGTGGATAAAGCGAAACTGCCTGAAAAACCAGTGATAAGAGTAAACGACTGCAAGGACGTTAACTACTTGGTTAGCAAGGATATCTACGTAATATATCAATTGTTCTATGTTCGCCGTATCCAGGAATTGTCACGAATCGCAAGATACGCTGGTAACAGGGAGAATTAAATTAACAATTATAATGAAAACGTACACATTTTTATTATTGTGTACATGAAAATCTACCATCAATGGAAACCGTAGAAAGTAGTTTTTAAGATTCACTGTTGGGGTTTGGAGAAATAGAAAGATCACCGTTTATCTTAAATCGATACAGGTATCGAAAATACAGAAGCAAATCAATTCTTATATTCTATAATATATACGTTTATTATATTTCGTAATGTGATTTTCGTTTACTGAATTGCGCTTACCCAAAATATATTCTGTTTTAATTTTGCCATAACATTGTTGCAAACGACTTTCCATCAGCACGAAGTAACCAGAAATTCCTTTTAAAGAAAAAACCTAAAGTCCATTAAGCCTAATCACTACTCGTACATACGTGATCATGTTGACACACGACAAAATCTACGCTATTCATTTTACACAAGTACACGAGTCCAATTAAAGGGTATTATTTTCTCGTTTCAGAGAGCCTTAGGGAGTACTTCACCAAGTACGGGGACATCACAGAAGTTATGGTCATGAAAGATCCCACCACACGGCGATCAAGGTGAGTCGTTCAGAATCATTTGTTATCGCCATCGATTATGGAAAGAGAAGAACGAAGTTTGCGCTCGCGCTGAAAGAGTATTCAATTTATCGTACACTCGAGAATCTTCCTATCGAGCGGTTTTATGCATCGCGGTAGGCCGGTCGCGAGAGGCATCCGGAGTTTTAATCGAGTATTCGCGATCGCTTATCTTACCCGCGGTTTTATGGAACGTCATTCCCTTTTGATCCTGAGTTATGGGGACGTTTGACGGTCGACCAAGGATTCCTAGACCCCTTATTAGCTCAGGCCGCGCGGCATTCTGCGTTCGCGTGCTCGCGTTTCCTCTCGTACCGCAGACATGCAAGCTGCGTTATATTCCTGCGCATTATGCTAATCACGTCTTAAATTAAACCGGCGGGACCGGATAAAATAACTTACCACTGTCGATCGATCGGATCGGCCGGCCCCCCACCCATTAGTCAGGATAAAGAGTGATCGCAAGAACCGACGATCGCTACGATTCATTATGGGATCGAGTACATCGGAAGCAGTATCGAACGATTATGACGACGTATCGTGTTCGAACCCCTTATAATGATATTCACCATCCTCACTATATCATGGGGTTTTCGGTCTCTCTGGTTTGCTTATCGTCACGCCTCTTTGTCTTCGTTGGAAAGACGGAAATTAATGTGGAACCAATGAAATGATCGTAACCACATTATATTTCAGCCTAGTTAATAATTTGTTGTTCAACTGATGTTATACCTTTGAAGATAGAAATGTCGTTTCTCTCATCTTGTGTCCTTTTTGGTCGTCCTGGACAGCATAACGCAAGTTACACTCGAGAACAGATATAGCTGCTTATAAGTACACTTTTCACAAGTTACCGTGGAGGGACTAAAATCTTCTTTACTCTCGTCGCGACTTTTCATAAGACCGCAACTGTTAGAAATACCTTCGTTCTCAGGATACGTGTGGTATCTAGGGTATCATGCTGGATTACACAAATCCAGGAGTATACGCCGTGAAGGGATAAGTTTTTCACGCAAATCCACTCAGTCGAAGGAGCAGCATTCTTAAGACCTTCCTATATCTACTGGATTTATAAAACGAATGTGATTTCATTATTTCCGAAATTTGATATTTGTACCCTCCTCTGTCAATGTTTCAACATAGGGAAATATAGAACTGAGCGCAGAATGTTATGTACCGTCTGTTTCTTAACTCCTCGCACTTAATTGTCCCCTGTGAAGAGATAGAAGGTACGGAGAATTAGGAAATTCCGAGTGGAAAGGGTTACTATCCATTCACGCATCAGATTTATCAGACTTTAGCCATGTTAGACAGCTTCCAGCGATTCCGATAATTAGGATTTTTTAAATACAGCCCGATTCTGTTCTGAACTTCCTGAATAGGTGTTGGTGTCCTGCCAAAAGCAGTTGACAGGCTATCGAGAACGTCTTCGCCCGAATGGCTAATCGAATTTCCCAAGCCGGCTGATAACCTATTTTCGAGTCGTTCGAGGCTGTTTATGATAATGCCGATGCGATAGGGAAGGGATAACAGGCACGAAATCCGCGTGCACAGATGCGAGTCGGGGACTATTTGGTGCAGCGAGCGGCGAGTTGGTAAGTGCGATGCATCTGCGGTAGATAGCGAAAGGAAATAATGGGCGCTTGGGATCGCTTCGTGGCCCTCAGGTAAAGCTAGCTCGCATTCGTTGTCACATTTATCTGGCTGATAAGTCTATTCTTGGCCCCCGGTGCATCTGCGCTTGCCATCTTCGAACACGTTGCGCGTGCTGGATCACTATAAATGCACGCGTCATTGCTAATGTGTTACGTATCCTTGCCGAAATAGACGATTTTCTTGGGCAACGCCGTAGTGAACTGCGTGCTGTCCATCGAAAGAACTAATCAAATAGTTGAGATGTTCTATCCAGATTGACAAATTACTATTAGTTCCGTTGGATTGTTCATACGTTGATCTTCTTTGTTATTGACAAGTCGAATTACAAAAGGAATCGATTTCTAGTTTTCAGATGTCTTTAGATAGTGGAAACATCGAAGGCAGTAAAATAGTAATTTCTGCATACGAAGGGATTATAATAATATAAAAACTGTTTTCCTGAAGCCTGCTGAAATCTTGACATAAGAACTCCTACAAGTTACTTATTTTATATTGTAATTTTTAGTGTTCTAATTTAAATCACTGAACTCATGCAGTCCTTTATCCGAAGGGAGGAAAACGTAACTTCCATGGAAATCCCAAAATCAGAGACTAAAAATTTATATTTCCCTTTGGAAAACAGACTTCGTCTAACTCCAGCTGCGATGTTCGCTGAATATTCATACGTGCCCGCGACAATAAATAATCGTGGTATCCCTTGGGCGTCGGTCCTTTCCTCGTAAAAATATCACAGGCGATTTGCTTGAATATTCACCTCGAATAAAGACGTTTGAAGGGATTAGGCGGAAAGCGTAAAGTTGCTCGGGTGACGGGAAAATGGGAAAATTTATAGATATAAAACGCGTCCATAGAACGCAGCCACCGTGGAGAGTTAATAGCCTATATGGCCGTGTACGAATTTATCGATGGCTCTAGCGAACTCTCTCGTCCCTCCGGACCCGCTATCCCCGTCACTCGAATATTCCGTCCCCACGTTGCTGAGAAAACTAAAATAATCTCTGCTGTTCTCTCGAGCGATATTGATGACGTCACTGCCACGTGTCGGTTCGCTGAGAAATTCGGGCCCGTTTCACTTATCCCCGATAGAGATCACGGTAAATAGGAAAAGGTAAAATCGACTGTCAGCTGAAGATTGTCGTGCCTATAAGTAATTGGTTCCAGAAAGGATACGTATCGACGTCGCCTTATATTTGAAATATTTCGAGACCATTTTCCAGGGCGTTCCAACGGAAAGTTGACTGAACGTGATTTGTCCACATTGCACATATTGCATATAAAAGCATTTCATTTTTAAATACGTCAATATTTTCTGCAAATTTTCTATGTAGACCGTGATAATTATGGAGGGTCGAAGTTCACAAAATAAATATAATACTAATTATTTCGGATAACAGTACTGTATGCAACTTACAGCAGTTTTCTTGTATGTTGTAATTAGTAGACATTTTTTTAAGAAACACGATACCTCTTCGAGAAGAGAATCCAATACTTCATGGGAGTTGATTGTGGAGTTGGTGTTTTAAAATTGAAGTGGATACTGTGATTTAATATATGTTTAATTTAGCTGGTTTTATTAGGCCACGCGTAAATCAACAAATTTGTAATTTTACTAACAAGCAAAAAGTTCCATTCTGATTACTGTTTTCGAGCAAATATTTCCAATGCTTACGCGTATTTCTCTCTGTAACAGTTACGAATTTCATCTGAAATTACAATACCTTACCGCTGTTTATTGCTCGATTAATGTGTTCATTACGTCTGTTGCGTGACGTGACTGCTGAAGCGTATGCCGCGTGTTCTGTATTTGATTTCTCCCAGCTGGCTCGTGTGTCTCGTCGTACCTACCTATTTTTCAATTACCGTCCGACGTTTGTAGCTCAGCGATAACAAAATAACTTATTCACCGATGTCAACGATATTCCTAGAAATTGTTTTGACGACGCATTTGACGAGCTACTTTTTTTACGAACGCGTTTTTCACCATCGTTTGACTCACTTCAATTGGATTGATAAAAATATAAATTATTCAGAAATTTCTCAATGTAAGTATTTCAGGATCGCAATCGCAACATAATTATCTCCGAGGAAATAGAAAAGATTTCCGGCGGTGTGTACCCGATTGCCTCGAAATTCCCCAACGAGATAGTTGCTTTCTATTAATTCAGGTTGCCGCGCAATTTGCACAGTTTCACTCTAATTGTATCTTAGCAGCTGATGCAAATTGTCCAAAGTTCGAGTTAAGTTCCCCGCGCGTAATTTCCTACGGTAACAAAAATAGGCGTATCCACCTAAGGGCGGAATCGTGCAACAGCTTCGAGGTAACGCCGGCAAACAGAAAATTCACGCGGCGTCGGCGGTACGAACGTTAAATGCCGGCATCAGAGTAATTACCGGGTTTTAAGTGGAGGAAACGAGGGGACGACAACGACCGTGACGTCGACGAGGGTCGAAAGAAGGAACGAAATCGGCGAAGAGAGTACGCCGTGGCAATACAGGTGGTCAGGGCCATTCGTGAAAGGACGGGAAATGGACGAAAGTCGAAGATGCGAAGTGCTTTTTAAAAAGAACTGCGAGCAATTTTGAAAATATTAATTGCACGAATTGCAGCGATACTTTGTGAAAGCGACGCTTCAGAATGAGTAAGTGGTTTTGTTACTGCAGTATCCCATCTGTATAATCACACTATTAGGTTCATGGAACGTGATTATAGGGTGCATTCGATTTTATTATTGTTTTATTCGTTGGTGACTTGTTTTGTCAGAAACGAAGAGTGATGATTGAGTGAGAAGAATTGAAAGTTCTGAAATATATTGGTGATGTCTTTACGAGAAGATCGTCTAGATGCGTTTCTAAAGAGAGAATAGGATATTCGATGATACTATTCTGTACCAGTAATATTGTTTTGGGTGGGTATACAACTATTCTACAGTGTGTTGTGCAGTTAATTGGACAAACGGTAAATGTGGGTATAAATCATAGATCAATTCAGCACTACCACTGAGATAAGCTCTTAAATGCGGATTTGCATTGGTTATCGTGTTAGCAGGATCTTTGACACAGTCATCTTGGTTACCTAATCTATCTCACTGACTATATTTTCTATAGAATACTTTTTGTGGTCTGCATATAACTAAAATTATTATTCGCAAAATGCAGTTTAAGAAGGGGTGTTACAATTACATCAGTAGACTCTCATGTCTTAAAAACGGAGCCCAATACAATCACGGTGCATCATCTTTTCTGTTTAGTATAACCTACCAAACAAGTAGGTCAATAAATAACTGAATAATTACCTAAAAAGGGATGAGCAATCTAAAGCTATATAG